CCCTCACCCCATTCAAACCTCATCTTTTGAAGCTCTTAGACCTGGGGTTTCTTCCAGCCCGTCCTGGTCTTTTTAAGTAAATGGCTTAGCAACTGTCTTTTCAGGAGTCTTTGCAATTCTAATAAAGTAACATTCTTGAAAGAGCACAGCGGACCCATGCTGCTGCCCTTGTTCCTCGACAGATGTACCACAGAATGCTAGCAGTGTGTTTAGAAGTTTTTACTTTCTTCTCCTTCTTCAGCCCTCTAACTTAAGGGAAAGATGGGATCCCATCCTGTGATTCACTGTGATTGGCTCATGTGCAGATCTGTGAATGCCAGCAAATTAAACACCCCCGTTTACACTAGTGCTGAGCAGGAGGGAAAATGGCCATCAACTCTCAGCACTCTTCTGCAATATTATCTGGAGAAAATTGCTTCCCTCCCTTTAGCCACAAAACGTATTATACATAAGGATAGAAAACTGAAAATTTTCCATCAAGACCCACAAATCAATAAGCTGCATGATCTCAGTACTGGGACTGCAATCGAGCTAAGCCCCTAGCCCAAGCCCCTCTGAAGCATGCTCAGTATTTCTTTAAGTAAGATTAGGGTGTGACCTCCATTTGCAGGGGTGTGGAGTCTCACAAATGCTAATATTCTTTGCCAGGCTCTTCAAAGCAGGGCCATCCGCCCCCCCCCCCAGGTCTGTAAATGTTCAATGTGTGGTTATGTAACTAAATGGAAGTAAAGACCCACACTGGACACTTCCCCAACAACCCAAAGGCTCCTCTGTGTTACTGAAATGTGCTGCCCAGTGAAGTCTGTTAATTACCACTTGCTGTTCATTTCTTAGCAAAGTTTTAGTAGCTAGCAGCTCCGTACATGTGCGAATCGCTGCTAGAAACGTTTGCAAACATGACTCGGCTCGTTGTTCTTTAAGGAGGTACTGATCTTGGGACTTCATTTTCTGCATATGCTATGGAGTTTGTTCAAACACAGGCATTATGATTCCTGATAGCACTGGGGATGTAACCGGTGCTGACTCCAGGTTGCTAAGCGATATATGTGCACCGCCCCTTGCATCCCTCTTAACAGTCTCACCAGGGAGCTGCTCTCCATCTCATCTCATCAGCTAGCAGACCAAGGCCGATCTGAGGGAAGCCGCTCACTCAAAGACATGTAGCTATGAATCACAGGTTCTCAACCTTCCTAATGCTGTGACCCCTTAATACAGCCCTTCGTGTTATGGTGAGCCCCAACCATGAAATTATTTCATTGCTATTTCATAGCTGTAATGGTGTTACTGTTATGAATCATAATGTAAATATCTGATATGTAGGCTCTCTGGCATGTGAACCCAAAGGGTTCACGACCCACAAGTTGGGAACCATTACTATAAATAAAGGAGTAGGGATCCTGTAAGGTTGTTGTTACACTCCAGAGCAGTGGAGGGCAAGCAATCCTCTTGTTCAGCACCACCCCCTACACAGAAACCACCCAGGGCCTGCTTAATCTTATCTGGGACGTGTTCATGAGTCCCACACAGACCCAGGAAGCCATCTCTTGATTCTCTACCAGTGTGTTCCCATTCTGAAACCAGAGACATCTTCCACCCTTCTGAAGCCAATCCAGGCCCTATGCCGTATCCCTAACCAACTTGAGAATATGTCAGAGACATGAGAATAAGGCTCCTCGAAACATGTGACACTAAGGTTCCAGGAGAGGGAGTAGTAATAGATGATGTGGCTGGGTAGAAATCACAGAAATGTGTTTAAAAATCAGTGCAAAGGAAGGAACTAAATGGCAGAGTGCACAGGAGCCTTGTTCCTGGCATTGGGCTGACCCATAGTGCACACACAGCAAGCAAGCAGTAGGTGAGTGACTGACTGACAGCTGACTTCAAATTCCTCTCAGAATATCTGAGATCTGTTTACACTTAACTAAGGAGGATTATGAGTGGCATCGAATTTGGATCCTGGAATAATCCATTTAGACAGTAAGGTAGCCTTGCTCTTACCAGAAATGGCGTTTGACACCAAATATGAGGGCTAACAGAGACTGGGGCACTGTAGTGCTATGACAGAACTGGGCCGCTCTGCTTTGCATTGGAATTTAAGGAAGCAGGAGGTGAGATCTCAGACCTGGGTCTTTGATACTAGCTGAGCCTCATAAGAGTCGCCGTCTTATACTACACTCTCTCAGTTTTCTGTGTTCAAATGTCAGCGAGTCCCATATAGCCATGGAGAGAAGCACTGAGTGGGAATGGAAAGGTCAGATGTGATGAGGAGGTATGGCGTTTAACTTGTCCCCTGATTCAGAAGTGATGATAGTTGGGTAGGTTATAAGAGGCCAGAGATCCCTGGCTCAAGTATTGTTCCTTTCTGCACTGGCCAGGTGACCTGAGACATCCTACTAACACTCAGTGTCCTTTACTTGGCCCATCTATGGAACTGAGATGACTAGATTGGGAACAAAAGTTAAGTGAAATAGGAGCCCTTGAGAGGGCTCTATAAATGGAGTGACTTTCATACCTCTGAGTGGGTAGGGATATGAGGCCTCTACTCAGCATATGTGGCATTTCTTCTGTTGGCTAAGCCTTGGTTCTCCTTGAATGCCCTGCAAATGGGCCCAGAGAGAGAGAGAGAGAGAGAGAGAGAACACTGGACCTGAGCAACCCTCATCATCTGCCCCCTAACTCTTTGCTCCTCTCTCCATCATGAGACAGTCAGTCCTCCCAAAGGCAATCATGGATCATCTGTCACAGACACTCAACAGAGGACACTGGTTTCCTCTGAGAGCATGAGGACACTTTGCACTCCCATTGGTTTGTGTCCTGCGGCAACATTGCCACGTTGAGCCTGCTCCTACCCGCAGCTCGCTCTAATTGAGTCCTTGCCTATCTGCAGTGAGCTGTCAAATATTGGCCTGTGTTCATAAGTACAATTAAGAATTCTCTTGTTAAAAGCGGCCGTAAACAGCAAAGTAGGGATTGGAGCCGATGAAACAGTTTTAAGCAATAAACTTGTGTTGATTTGATTCATGTATTTGCCATTTCAAAAATTCACCATTTTGAAAACAGACAAATTCCTTTATGAAAACAGCAAAAGTTGTGTCCTATAAGATTTTGAATTTTGAAGATACATAAAATGTTTATGGTGAAAGTTTTTTAGTGTATTATTTACTCCTATCTTTAATCTAGGGTAAGACAGTGACATATACTTTGCTGTACTAAAAGGCCATAATGTAAAGTTTCATCATCAGGGATGAATATGGGGACAAGGCCTTCCCTGTTCACTTTGATTGTTCCAGTCAAGGGATACACAGGCTTCAGGGGTCATTGCCCTAGAGTCTCAACAAGAGAGGACTAGTTAGAAGTAAGTATCAGGGTCCCCGTTGCTTAATACAGAAACAGTACAGAAACAAAATCATATGAAAGGTTTTTTTAATACTTTTTGTGAGCTTCCTCTTTGACAACTAAAATTCCTATCATGGTTTGAATTGACCATTCAACCCCTGATTTCAGAAATCTGCCCCCCCCCCCAACCACCACCCAATGTCTTCTCTGATCCTCACTGTAGTCATGACGGTTATCTGCCTCGTCAATATGAACCACAATGAAATGTCTTTGGAAAGGAGCTATTCATAGAGAATGAGCAAGAAATATCACATGCCCACTTGCTTTTCTTCAGAGGATGTAATTGTCCTTCTCATCCTCTCATGTGGCCATGAGTTCCAAGTCTTTGCTCCCTGAGTCAGAAACATCAGTCCTGAGTGAACTGTGGTGGGTGATGTTTGCTCATAACAGATCCCTCTAGAAGTCATTTATTTGACAACAGCTATGTATTTGGGACTGATCCAGGCAGTGAAGGGTGAGGTGTGTCATAGATGTTCCCTACTATCTTAGCAGGAGGGAACAGAGGTACACACAGATGGCAACTCTATCTGGAAGAATGTGGCAGCTATTGGATGAGGACAAGCAACAGAGAAAGTCAGAAAGCTAAAGAGTTTTCTATTAGGGGATGAGTTCAGGGCTGGCAAGGTGTGGAAAGAGGAAGTGAGAATTTTGGTTGATGTGGGTGATGAAAAAAAAAAAAACTGCTAGACAATTAGTAGGGTTTGCAGGACAGGGACTGAAAAGGTGACATTTCTGTGTCACCTACTTACCTGTATCCAACAGAGGGCATGAAGTGCTTTCCTGAGGTTTAAAATCAAAGACTACCTCTGTGTGTTGACTGAAGTACTTATTCTCTCACAGCCTATATTTGGAGTATGTCATATGTCTGCAGACAGAAGAACCTCCCTCTCAGTCATATGACCTTTAAATATTGTGTTCTTGTCTGTCAGCTAACACAGTGTGTGTATTGGGTGGGGATGCATAAGTTGATTGAGAAGGACATTAAATAAATAAATAAATAAATAAATAAATAAATAAATAAATAAATAAAGGCAGAACGTGAATCCCTTGAGACATTATGTCACTGCCCCTGGGTCAGTAACTCTGCACCTACTCTCTATTGTATGTAATGCCCTTCTCCTCCAAGGAGGTAAGACTCATGGTCAAGTCAGTTGTGCATCTGATACCCAGTCTGGTAAGATAGGTAGGTTAGAGGAAGGAAAGGGGAGGTCCTAAGACCGAGCAGGAGAAGCCAGCCAACATAGTCAGCAGTGGATGAGGGATGAGTTGGTTGAGTTGGACATAAAAAATGAATGCAATCTCTGAACATATGGAAGTTTAAATGATGGAAAATATGGAACGTGGCAGAAGAAAAAAGTCAGAGTGGACTGAATATCAAGAAGCTGAGAATGAACCAAATTAGCACAGGCTGAACCACACTAATAAAATATTGACTGTGTTGAAATTAGTATTGACAGCTAAAGTTGAAACATGTTAGTCATGTGTCTTTTTGACACCAAAACATCTGGTTTTCTTCTCTCGGAATCCTAGGGCACAAGGGGCCTTGTAAATGTCAGAACGATGGATAGGCAGTGTGTGATTGCCCCTTTGCTTTCTCACTGCAGGAAATACCAGAAATGGCCCAACACCCTACGGGTTCCGACTCACGCCAGAAGAAGAAATGAGGAGACAGCGCCTTCACAGATTTGATAGCCAGTGACGTGGCACCATGCCTGGGAAGACATGGTCCAGCAGTGTGACTGTAGCCCGTTCACTTTACTCCCCAAGTCCCTAATTGGTTTTAAACAAAATCAGAGCACACAATTATCATTGCAGAGCACTCGTGTCTGCCATGAACTGTCACTGCATAGCCCTTGTATGTCCAGATTCGCTTGCCCAGCTGACACATCTGGAAACTAGGCTCGTCCCAGGAAGTGCACAGCTTTCCGAGTGGCCTGACTGGCAGCCCTGTGCTTTCTTCTAAACCAAAGGTCCCCTCTTTGGTTGGGACCAATTTCCACACTCCCCTCCTTCCCAGCTGATGAAGTGCCACATCCACGGTGGGGTTGGAGACTGTGTGACCTTAATTGGAAGCATTTTATCACCAGACCAGAGGATCCACTCCTCTTTCCCTGATAAGCTGGGTGCTCAGCTTGGCAAGAGGTGCAAGCCCCCCCCCTGGTCCTCCTGGCATATTTCCATGATGTAGCTGCCTTCCCAAGATGCTCCATCCTCTTTCTTGCAGGCCCCTCCGGGTGCTGTGTCTGCCTGGTGTTCACAACCACCACTTGGCTCTGCATGTAGACTATCTGACTAGAGGGGAATTAGAAAAGATCTAAGGTAGAGAAAACACCTGCTCACTCATTAGATACCATGTGGCACTAGCAATTTGGGTTCACAGCAACCCCTCCAGGAGCAGGAGACTTGTTTAACTACTCCGCAGAGCAGCGGCAGGTGCCACACACAGAGCAAAGCGGAAATGCACGGTGGATTTCTCACCGGGGATCCCATTTGCAGGAAGTATTTCTTTCTTCATAGAAGTGCCTTTTCATTGGCCACTGTGGCTGCTGTATGTCATAAACAAGTGTCCAAAAAAAAAAAAAAAAATGCCCCAGGGAACTGCAGTGTTTAATACACAGAGTATCCAAGTCACTTAAGGCATTTCTGTTGCTTGTGTTCTGAGAATAAAAGGACAAAGCCAGAATATGGCTGCTGAGTCACTGTTGTGGACCATTTAGTTCAATGGAAGTTAGGAGCAGCCAATGATGCTCCTAATTTAACTAACCATTCATGTATAGTTTCTGCTTATAAAAGTTGTAGACAGGCTTTCTTATGCACAATGCATAATGTCTATAAAAGCATACTAACTGTTGATACAATTTGCTTTGGAGGGGCAGTGCATGGGGCCTGACTTTCTTTGTGTACAGTTTTATATTCTATTTTTAAAAATGTGTGTTGCTTTCAGAAGACTAATTTTTATGATAAATCAAGAAACATGTAACCAGTAAAACAGACTTTAAGCTAAGTACTGTATGCCCATTAAGAAAATTCACAGGCCTGTCATAGTGGCACACACCTTTAATCCCAGGACTCAGGAGTCAGAGTGGGAAGATATCCGAGTTCAAAGCCAGTCTGGTTTACATATGAAGTTCTAAGCCAGCCAGAATACACAGATACACAGACACACACAGACACACACACACACACACACACACACACACACACACACACACACACACGGTGAGACCCTGTCTTGGAAAAAGAGATAAGGATCCAGGGAGGAAGGAGATGGTGAAGCAAGGAAGGAAAGAAATTCACAGCATATAAATAAAACTACAAACACATGCTCAGCTTTAAAATGAGCTGGTGCCCAGGGTTGACATTTTGAGGCTATTAACGTCTCGATTTTCTGTTGGATGCATTTGACACATCTGGTACATGTCGACTGCATCTCCATATCTGGTTGTTAATAGGAATCCACCTGCAATGTTTTTGACACTTGCATATAAACGGGCTAAGCAAATCCATGAAGTCTGAGAGCTTTAGGGCAGTGGGGCCTGAGCACCTCATTTTAATTGGTGTTAAGAATTATATCCATGAGCCTGGTACCTTTAAACACATTTAAGTGAGAATGGTCAGGGCTGAAGAGATGGCTCAGCAGATAAGAGCACTGACTGCTCTTCCAGAGGACCTGGGTTCAATTCCCAGCACCCACAAAGCAGCACACAACTGTCTGTAATTGCAGCTCCAGGTACCTGACACCTTCACAACAATGCACATAAAATAAATTTAAATACGTTTTTAAAATAAATAAATTAGAATGGTCAAGCTCGATTATTCCTGTCTCTCAAGTGGTACATTTGCCTTCTGTGCCACAGTGAGGAATAACTTACTCCCTACATGCCTTCTTTTGACAGCACATGGAGAGGCTTGCCCAACACTCTTCCCTCCCTCCTTAGTCATGTCTCTGTGTGGCATGGGTCTGGTTGAGCCTACAACAAGGCCCATTATTTACCTTCCCGTGTCTTCTTCTTCTTCCCCCTCACTTTACACTTAAAGGCTAACTGAATGTATTTTCCCACCACCAAAGTTTGTTTTCAGTTGTATTAGAACTCCACCAGCTTGTATGTGGAAATACTTATTTTTTTTTTTTTTTTTTTATGTAGCTTGAGTCCAATGATAGTGCCTGCTTGCTTTGTTTTACTCGTTGGACACGAAGACACTGGAATCCCAATTTTTGGATGGTGTAGTTCTAATATGCATTTTTTTTCTTTATTTATGGAGTGAAATGTCACCAAATGTTATTACGGATGTGGAAACAGTCATTTTAGTTGCAAGTGAAAAAAACAGTTATCTTTCAGAATAAAGATGCTTATAAAAGTACAGTTATGTTATTCAACTAATGGGTTTGTATATGACCAGTGATTATTGTTTTCTTGTCTGGAATTTTTTTATTGTTTGTTGTTACATTTTTTGTTTGTTTGTTTTTGCCCCACCCACAATAAGGATGGCTCAGAGATATGTCAACAAACTGGGCGGGGACTGAGAAAGACTAGCAGAAGCTAATTACCTATAACAGGGAGGCAATTAGCACTGAAAGCCAATTTTTAAATTTGGCTCCTTTGTTAGTAATCTTCCGATTGTCTTTTATGTACCCAGTGTATCCAGTTCCCAAAGGTTGGTGTGTTCAGTGAGGCTTAACAGACCTCGTAATTCAGAATCTTTTCCTGGTTCTGGAGAGGAAGGACTAGTTAAAATTGCTTCCTCTTGATCTCTTTCGGCGTGTGTGGCCTATGATTTGCAGAGTTACCCAAAAGCATCCCTGATGATGAGACTGGATCCAAACGGTAAAGTAACTGACTGGACGTGGTGGCATTTGGCCAGGGGAGTTGGAGACAGGAATGACCAGAGGTGACCCCGCCACAGACTCTCTTGGGAGTCCACATTTAAGAAAGAAGTGCATTCTATTACTCATAAGTATATCCTTTCTCCTATCCATTCCCTTGGATCACTCAAGCAATTTTCTAAACCGATTCTCACTCTCTGACCCCTGACTTTTGTTTTCTCCTCCAGTATTTTAGAATTTAGCTCTGAAGTTTAGCTCTGAAGGACATTGAAGCCTCTCAATTCATCACTTTGGTCACTACTTAAAATACCTCATCACTCAACTCTACATTCTGTTGCCAGCTGGGCTTCCAAACCCCATCTTAGCAATACCACTCATCATCTCAAATATCTTTCATTGTTTGTCTGTTGACAAACGGTAAAGGTCAGAGCTATTAACCTCAACAACTGGACTCCCAGCACCTTTGGACCTCAGCCTGTTTGTTCTTAACAGCTGGCTCACTGGTCTTACCTTCCAGGCTGTGGATGCTTCTGATACTGGAATCATTTCAGGGTTGTATAAGGAATGGCACCTCCTCTCCCTCAGCCCTCTAGGCCCTTCTCATCCTGTCCCCTAATCGAGGCCTGCTGTTTTGGTTTGGTCTGCATCTCTTAGTGTCTACATGTCACTTGGCAATGCTGATTGTGCCATGAAAGCACATCCTCCTTCCAAAGACAGGAACTGGGAGAATATAGTCACATTTCTCTTGGCTCTCCTCACTGTGCCTTCAGGGTTGAAGTGGAAAGAAGCTCATCCATATTATGACAGATGGTAAACAAAGGGGGTCGGGGTGCAGGTGCCCAGAGAAACCAGAAGAGGGCATTAGGTCCCCTGAGACTTCGAGCTGCCCAACAAGGGTGCTGTGAACCAAATTACCAAATTCCAGTTCTCTAAATGAGCAACCACTATCCTTAACCACTGAGCCATTTCTCCAGGCCCAATACCATCACTTTTTTTTTTTTTCTTTTTTTGACAGAAGTTCTCCCACTGAACCAGGCCCTGATGGACTAGACTATCTAGCCAGAGAGTGCAAGGATCCACCTGACTCCACCCTTCTCTGTACTAGGTCTAGATGAAAAGAACCACTCCAAGCCTGATTGCACATAGGTGTTGGGAATCCAAACTCAGATCTTCCGTTTGAGCCTTCTCCACTCATTATGCATTCTAAAGCAAACTGGCTTTTCTGAGTCGAGAGTCACATTTTATCACCCATTTTAAATAGACTCTGTTTTTAACAAATAATTACACCAAAAATACACATATCCAGCAGTGCACACCGTGATAGCTTGGATATAAAGTGTCCCTTGTGCTCACCCTGTGCCCCCTCAGGCAAACATGTTGAGATCTCGTGATGCTGCTGAGAAGGGATGGAACTGAGTTGGAGTAAGCCAGTGCAAGTGCATGCTTGGAGGCTATATGCTGATCTGGGCTGCTCTTGGTCTCAGTCTGGTTCCTGGCCACCTTTGAGGTGAGCGCCTCTGCTCCATGCTCCCACAGCATGTGACTCCTCTCCATGCCTCAGTTAATCCAACAAAGCTTGAACTGAAGCTGAGTCCAAATAAACTCTGATTCTAAATTGTTTGCCTGGAGCATTTGAAAAGTTCACTAGCACAGGGAGGCTACAAGTCACAGTATCTTACAATATATATCTCTACAGTTGGCCTTCACACCTTCAGCCCTTCAAATAACCCTGGAAGTAAGCAGTCTCATCTTGCTTAACTAACGTGACAGCTGAGGGCTGAGACCCATACTGCGCATCACCCATGATGAATTTGACCTTTTGCCAGATGCCTGATTTTATGTCTTTTGTCCACCCGACAATGAATACAGAACTGTGCTTCATGGAGGCTCAGAGTCTCTCTTCACAGCCTTGGCTCTTCCTTTCTGCCAACCAGCCAGTTGCATACTCAGCCAGTTTCAAGGGTAGACTGCATTACAAGGTAGATTTAAAATAAAGATTGGGGCAGTGCTGGGTGGGATGACAGCTCAGTGTTTGCCTTGAAAACATGAGGATGAGTTAAACCCTCCCCAACAAATCAAAGAAGCCAGACATGCCTGCAATCCCACTACATAGAAACAGGTGGGTACCTGGGGCTCCCTGGCCAGCCACCTAGTCTTACTTGGTGAATTTCTGATCAATGACGACGATGTCACCCAAAAATAAGGTGATGGCACCTGATGAACAACAATTTAGGGCCTCTAAGCTACATAAGTACAATACACACATACTCACAACTTCATACATGTGTCTGCATACAAGATCATATAAAAGACTTGAAAGAAAATACATTATCAAAGCCAGTGGTTGTGGAAGCCATCACATAATTTTATATATGATGAACCTTATAAATGACAATACAGCAAATATTTGTGTGTCAGTAGTAGATCAGGCATCTTGCAAAAAGTTGTATAATCAAAATTTTTTACTTTAAAACCATATGTTAGAAGAAGGGATGCAGTTTATCAGACATCTTTCACATTTTCCCAATGAATCATTAAATATTTAAGCACCATAAAATTCAAGCATTTCACGTGGATGTGGCAGCTAGACACCCTGGTTTAGAACGCATTATGCAGAATTTCTTGTGGATAATAGTGACAATTGTAGAATGATGATTTTTTAATGTCAGTTGTTTGTTCCCTGCAGACCTTACTCATAATGTCCCTGCAGGAAATTGTGATGCTTTTTGTGGTACAATAACTCTGAGAATTGAAATAAAGAAGCATTCCCAAAGACATTAAGAACTGGCTAGGTATGGCTATTTCTAATCAGTAATTTATATGCCCTGTGAAAACCAACATGTGATTTTGTTCGGGGAGAAA